AACATAGAGTCATTTATTTTGTGCTCAATCTATGATGGTAGATGTGTTGCCATGTCTAGGACAATGATGGGTCCGAGAAGCAATGATAATAATCTTGGCAGAGTAAGCTTAATCTATAGCTTAATTCTAGCTGTTCTTATCACAGAACAAATCCTTATCATGGGCACTTACATGAATGACACAGACGGTTCAATCAGCAGCTACAATTTGTTTCCACAGTTTCTTGGGCCCAAAGAGGCATGTCTTTAATTTTCCAGTCATAATTTTCTATGTGACAGACCACCAGCTAGGACATTCCTGATAGCCTACAGTTGGAAAAGATATATTGAGGTTTGTCTAGGGGAGTATTAGCCAGAGGCATGAGAACAGTCTTGATTTCTGCCCACTGTGCAGAGTAATCATGTCCATTTTCAGTTCTACACAGCCGACGTTGAGGCTGACCAGCTCTAGCAGCCCAGTGGACACCTTTGGATTTCAGCTTAGATGAACCATCAGTGAACTAGGCCCAGGCAAATAGGAAAACCTCTGCGAACTGAGAGCCCCATTCCCTAAAAAGATAACCATCACTTTTTCATATAAAGCCAAGATGTTGTTCAGACCACATCAACAGCAGTATTGAATATACCATTCCCATTTGACAAGTGGAACTTTTGGGGCCCTTCTTATCATATTTGTTGTTGAATCTGAGTTGACCCACTTCAAAATTGGAATATCAGAATAGAGAGTTAGTAGACACATTCAGCTTTGACAAAAGCCTGGTAGCAAGCTAATGGGTGCTTTTCAAAAGAGGTCTGCCTGGTATCAATGTAAGGGAAGTGATGCATCCAAAACCTCAAGGGGTGCCTCCAGTTGGAGGCTGCCTCCCTCTACAAGAAGCGCCAGTTGGAAAAATCATTAGTCACTAAGACTTTTAATTCAAAGTGGTCATCAGGGTTATGGGACCCCAAAGGTACTATCATTTCTGTACACATAGCTCTTCCTGATAAGAATTCCCTTGATACTTATGGGATAGGAGGTATGACCATATTCACATCAGTTCCTACTATACATTCAGACATAGAAGGGAGAAAAATAGTACATTAAATTGTCACAAAGGGCCCCACCAACAAGGTTACATTAGTTTATCTTCCACACTCTGAACTTTGCCCAATCCAATCAGTTGGATCTGAGCATCCTCTCCTCCTCAAGACAAGGTAGATGGTGACTTGGACACCTGTATCCAATAGAGTCCAAAGGAGTCCTTCCCCTCCCTGAAGTTCCCTAGCATACTTAGAAGAGTGGTATGTCCTTTGGTCCTCTTGAGGGCAGAGAGACCGCAGCCTCATCCCTATTTATCTTTCTCCATAAACGAGCTGAGGTAGAGTGGGGAGTGCAGAAGATAAGGGAGTGAGAAAGGACTTTATGAGAGGGTGCAAAGGGAAACAGTGGTTCTGCACCAGTAAGCAAGATTCATTTACTTTTGCTTTTGAGTGGCATAGCTCATGACTCAACTAAATGAGCTTCTAATGTTTCCCATCTGCCTGTCACTCTATATCATGTGGCAAGATCCTCATGGCTGATGCGATCTATTCCAGTGTTGGGGATCCCTTGATTTAACAGCCACAGCCAAATTGCGTTCCATTTCGGGGTACAGAGTTATGACCTTTGCCTAACTCCAGCCTGACATACAACTGTCATTTTTAAGGAATTCACCTTGATTTGGGGCATCTGCAACTCCATTACCAAGGTAACATCTCATAAGTTCTTGCCCAGTTTCAATACAAGGGCTGGGGGAGTTTTCTAGGGCTGCAGAACTAACCACAAAGGTTTATCTAAGAATTTGGTTCAGTTTGTCATTCTCCAGTGGGTCACTTTCATCAGCGTTTTAAACCCAATTTGGATCAACAAAAGCTCAAATACTTTTTAATATCTCATCTATGATTTCCCACAGGAATTTGTCTTTCTCACAGAAATTTCCAAAAAAAGCTCAAGAATCCCTTATTGTCATGACAATAATAAACCACCAAAAAAAAACCCCTGAGAATTTTTATTTTCATCTTTAAAGGGGTCTAAGATTGGCAGGAGAGACTGCAGGAGGCGCTTTGTCATATGATGACCCTGCTATTGCCATTTGACCTTAACAAGCATTACACACCCTGTCCATTCATCTCTTAAGTAAACTAGCCAAGTGCTAGCCATTTGCCTGATTCCTACCCGTAGGGGTTGCAAATTCCCCTCTTTTGACATTCAGTAGAAGTATTTCTCTCTAACTGTTGTTAGGTAGGGGTCAGAACCTCTGGTCACCCCAAGATGAATTTTAATAATAGTTTACAATAGGGTGGACCTTAGTCTGGCTGCCAGATTGACAAGAAAGTCTCCCCACCCAGAGGAGAGTTGGAAACAACCAAGGCACCATTCAGACAGCTGCCTTTCAGTTTACTTCCTAGTGCTCAGCCTGCAACAACCTCCCAATTCCTCCTCATTAAGTGGCAGTAAAGTGGAAGGTCATTTATTGCCCTGTTGACCATTCCTTTCTTCAACATCTCCACTATCAGTTCCTCAGGGAATTCCCTGAAATCCTGTTTATCAGTCATGATAAATTCTTCCTCTCCCAGAGGAGATGTCTCTTTCAGTATCCCATCCGCATCGCCAAAACTGTCAAGAACTTTGGAGGATCTGAGATTTTACCATACATGAAAACTAACACCTTAGGCAGCCATTGTTTCAGAGACTCAAAGAAGACATGAGACTCTTGCATCAGAGACAAAGGTCAATTTATTCCTCACAGCAATACTGTAGCTAAAGTATCAGCATTTGCACCATGTCCCCAAACTGCAGTTCTTAAGGGTGATGTCAAGAAGGTACCTGCAACCATTGGTTGTATTACAGAGAGAAACCTCAAGCATAGAGAACTCAGATCTTTTATAATGGGCAATAAGCATGCCTGCCCGGTGCCTCAGAGGGAGACATTTCCTTTATCATACCAGACAGTAAACAAACCTGCCCCTTTGCTTTAGAGGGAGACACATCTCTATCTTCCAAGGCTCTTTACTAAACAACTGTCATTGAACAGATAGCCTGGAACAAAGGTAGCCAGGGCCTCTATTCATAAGATATGGAGAAACGCAAAAAACATGAATGTCTCCCAATCATGTAAACAATTAGTGAAATGATTTTAAAATGTAAATCTCTATATGAGCTTGTTATTGTTCTGTCAATACTCTCATTTTTAACACACTTATTGAGGTATAACTGACAAACAAAAAACTGTACATATTTAAAGTATAAATTTTTCTAAGTTTTGGCATACATCTATACCCATGAAATCATGAGCACAATCAACTTAATGAACACAGCCACCACTCTCAAAAGCTTCTTTGTGTCCCTTTTATTTTTAATTGTTCGTTTTATTAAATATCAGATGATTTTTACTAAAAGCAGATGAAATTAGTCGAATTATCAACTTCTCCTTTGACGTGGGAATTATACTTCTACCAGATAAGGCATGATAAGTGATTCTTGGTAGGGGACGTAAGTCTGTGCTTCAGGGCATAGTCTGAGCTGAATGGTTGCACTAAAAGAAATTAAGAAAGTATTCCATCATTATTCTCAATGTCAGGTGGATAAGACATTTAGAATATTTATGAGTTTCACTTTAGTCAACAGAGATTATCACTTTGCTATTTTACCCCAAAACATGACCTTCATGTAATATTTAGATAATCACTGAAATAGAAAGCATTGATTTTCTTTCAAGGAATTTCCTGTCTACTTTCTTCTTTAGAGTTCATCCCTTTAAAGAAAAAATTGTCCCATTATATTCTTCTAGTAAAAGAAGATAAATAGTCTATTCATCTTTTAAAGAAAGATATCTTTTCTCTGTGTTTGAGTTTTCTGAAGTAAAGATTTTCATAGTCTTTGGAATATTGAAATAAATTATATGGAACATTATAAGTACATGTCACATTAACATAATATGAAACCATAGATAAACAAAATAAAATTACTATGTATGTGGTTTATCATGTATAAATCAAGAATCACTTTACTTAATTAGGAAAGAACTAACAGCTCCAGCTTGCATCATTCAAC